ACAGGGCAAACTTCCCTCTAGTCTTTCCATGTGAAGGTGATAATTTTCTACAGGCTCATGAAAGCTTCACTGGTTATGGCCCGGTACTTAGTGGAAACCTCAACACAAATAGGAGGTCCGGGCTCAGGTTCCAGCTCAGTCACTTACTCACTAGCAGTGAGACCCTGGGTAAGTCATTTAATCTCCCAGAGCTTTCATCTCCCCATCTGCAAAATGGGGGGTCAGAGCGCCTCATAGGGTGGTTGAAAATATTTTTAAAAACAACATGCATATGGGCATAATCCAAACCTCTAATAGGTACTCATGTCAATGTTGGTTGAATCTGAACCTGTTTCTTCTCTCACAAAGCAGGGCTCTTAATTTCTGACCAGGACACCATCCTCTGGCAGTGTCATTAACCTTCCTTTTGAATTTGGCAGCTTTGTGGAAAACAAAAGGGGAAAAGGAAAGCTGCGATCATTTCACATAAACATTTGGGTTTGCGTCCACAGTGTTATGAAAACTAAGGGTAGAGGGTTGGATGACACCACCAGAGAGTAAGGAAGGAGGAGGGGGAAAGGCTGGACCAGCACCCGGGAGCACTGGCATTTCAAGGACGGGCGAGGTAAGAGGTCTGGGTCCGGGGAACTGAGAGGGAGCGATCAGAAGGAGAGTGGATGACCATGGTGCTCATTCAGTGTAGCTCTTCTTATAACAATGCACCGGAAGGGATCAGGCTTAGCTGCGACTGTCATCATCTCTTGCCAAACCAATTCATTAATGACGCGGATAGACCCTGGTTCTTTTCACTTGTGCTTAAGTGACACTGTGTCAGTTCCGACAGACGGCTGCCTACTCTGACCACCCACCCACTCGCCCATCCTCGGCAATAGAGGAAAGCATACAGGGAAGAGAGTCGGTTGGGATGAGCCAGGAGTAGCTTTACAACAGTTGGCCCAGTTACCTAATCCTAACCAAAGAAGGGAATGTGTAGCTCCTTCACATACTATCGTTTTGTTAAAAGCTTCAAAATTTTACTGGCCTGATGTTAATCACCCTTAATAGCAAGTCAACATTTTGCATCCAACTCATCTTGAAGACTAGTCTAGGAAATTTCCTTGTTCTAGAATAAAAAAAAAATCAATGGATACTTTTCTTGGATGGCTTTGTGGTCAGTGGTTATACTGGCCTTGTGTTATTTTTAGGAAAATTCCGGAAGCCCATATACCCTCCCTGTCTTCCTGAGCGTGAGCTTTAATCAGGTTTTCAGGCGGGCTAAGAACCTCTACCCTGGAGCATATTCCCTGATCAAGCCCAAGTTGAGTACCTGGGGTGTGCCATTTTTCTCTGTCACCCAGGAAACTCATGGCTGCGTATGTTCAAAGGACGTTACTAAAAATGATACTAGTTTCATTGCAGTTTTTTCTTATGAAAATTCATACCAGGCATTTCTCTATGGTTTATAACCAGGAATGGATGTGACTAGACTGTTTTAAATGAAGAGCAGTTCAGTGTTAAATTCTTTGTTGGTTGTTGGAAAGTTTAGGGCCAAACTCTCAACCCACCTCCTGCACAAGTACTTAGTACTTCATAACATTTATCTATGTCCCTCGATATTGCGATTTGGGGAACTAGTAAATAACAGCCATGTCTCCCTGCCTGGGTTTTAAACTCATTGAGAAATAGACGCTGGAGACAGACAGGTGGAGATGAAAATGTCAGCTTCTTTACCAAATCACTTGAATGGGTATATTACATGAATGCAGCCTAGATGTGCAGAGAAGTGGGCTGGTCATATTCCATCCTGGCTTAGACAGACTTGCCCACCAAGTCCCAGGCACGGCTGGAAGCCCTCACCTCCTCTGCAGGAAGGTGTGAAGTCTCTGCAGACAGACATACTCTCTCCAAAAGGAATGGCATCTCAACTCCTTCCCCCAAATGCACAATCAGAGAAACCCCTCTGGCCCTGGTTCCTGAGAGAGAGACTGGGGCAAGAGGCAAGAGCAGTACTCTAGGGAGATCCTTCCAGATCGGGAAGTGGAAGCCATTATCCCCAGTGCTGACCTTCCTAGCCTCACACTCCCTTTGCCCAGTTTCCTTAATTGTTTCACTAATTGCAGCATATATATTTTTGTAAAGTTCTTTATATATTCTATATATTCTCTCTCTATATATAGATTATATATATATATATTCTTTTTAGACCAGGTTGGGCCAAATAAGTTAAAGAGTTTATTTTAAAATCACAGGAATCCTAATACTTTTTATGGTGAAATAGCAAAATGCTACACAATTTAGAGTGCTTTGAGAGGAAGGGATCGTAGGAGTCTGGAAACGATGGAGTTATGTTTTTTGTGCCTTTCAGTGTTAACTGAAAACTCTTGGTGCCTTGTCTGTCTTTAGTACCAATTTTTTTAAAGTCTTTTTTTACATTTATTTATTTTTGAGAGACAGAGAGAGAGCACGAGTGGGGGTAGGGCAGAGAAAGAGGGAGACACAGAATCCAAAGCAGGACCCAGGCTGTGAGCCGTCAGCACAGAGCCCGATACGGGACTCGAACCCACAAACCATGAGATCATGACCTGAACCAGAGTCGGACGCTTAACTGACTGAGCCTCCCAGGCGCCCCTAATTCCAATTTTTTAAACTCTGTGTTTTAAAAACCCAAAGGGATACGCCTATTAATATGTCTCTCCTCAGATTAGCTATAGCCAATATCTGCAAAGAAGAGAGACATTATAAAATGTTCTATCAGAAACCCATTTTAGAAGAGACTATGCCAAATTCTTTAACAAAAATTCTAGAACTCATATGTCCAAATGTGCATTACACCTTTCAAAAGACTCAACTGGAAAAGCAACACCCTTATTTCAATTAGGCCATTATTGTTCCAAGAATTTCTTCATTAGAATTGCTATTGGAGGCTTCAGAAAGTATCTCAAATACTCTAAAAAATGACAGGCCCTTGTCCTGTCAGGTGAATCCAAGTTTAGCACCAGCCATTTGGAGCTATGTTCGGTGAGTAATATACCTATTCAACTTTGGTGACAAAAGTTTTAGTTCGTAAGATGATAAAAGAAAATATCCTGGCAAATTTTCATGATCTTGGGTTTGGCAGTGCTTTTTTTAGTATAACAGTACAGGTAACAAAAGAAAAAAATAGATATATTGGTCTTCATTAAATCAAAACCCTTTATTCATCAAAGATAACTATCAACAGAGTGAAGAGAGCCTAAGATGGGGGAGAAAATATTTGCAAATCATATACCTGATATATATGCAGAATATCTGGAACATATAAAGAGCTACAACTCAACAACAAAAATTTTAACAATCCAATTTCAAAATAGGCAAAGGACTTGAATAGACATTTCTTCAAAGAAAATCTACAAATAGCCAACAAGCACATAAAAAGATGCTCCGCGTCATTAGTCATTAGTGAAATGAAAATCAAAACCACGAGATACCAATTCACACTTACTGAGATGACTATAATGTTTTTAATTAAAATAACAATTATAGAAAAGGATCTGGGGAAATTGGAGCCTTTGTACGTTGCCAGCAGGCGTGCAAAGTGGTTCAGTCACAGAGGAAGACAGCTTGGTGGTTCTTCAAAGAGTTAAACAGAGAAATACCATAGGCCTTCAATCCCACTCTTGGTATATGCCCAAAAGAACTGAAATCAGGGACACAAACAAATACTTGTACACAAACGTTCACAGCAGCCCTCTTCACAGTAGTCAAAAAGTAGAAACAGCCCAAGTGTCCATCAATGAGTAGATGGAGAAACAGATTGTGGTATATCCATACAATGGAGTACTATTCATTTATTCATATACTGACATGTATACAATATGGATGAACCTTGAAAATAGGATTCTATGTGAAAAAGGCCAGACATAAAAGGACCATGTTATTATATGGCTCCGTTTATATGAGATACCTAAAAAAGGCAAATTCATTGACAGAAAGTAGATTGGAGGTTACCTGGGGAAGGGAGTACAGAGTTTCTGTTTGGAGCAATAAGAAAATTTGGGGAATAGTGGTAATGGTTGCACAACATTATGAATGTAATTAATGCCACTGAAATGTACACTTTAAAAGGGTTAAAATTTGGGGGCACCTGTGGGGCTCAGTTGGTTGAATGTCTGACTTTGGCTCAGGTCATGATCTCATGATTTGTGAGTTTGAGCCCCACATTGGGCTCGCGGCTGTCAGCGCAAAGCCCACTTCGGATCCTCTGTCCCTCTCTCTCTCTCTCTCTGCCCCTCCCCTGCTCACACATTCTCTCTCTCTCTCAAAAATAAATAAAACAAAACAAAAAAAGCTTAAAATTTTATGATGCATATAACATTTTTTGTTAAGCATTACATGTAAATATATAACACATTGTGTTTTTAGTCATTAATATAAAACTAAGCAGATTTTAGTTATAATTTACCATATTTTAAAAAGCCCTCACAATTTATAACAGTTAACATTGTGTTTAAGAAATCTGGCAATTCTCCCTTTATTTTTCTTAACAAATGCCCTGTTGAAATAATGAACTGCGAATAGCTTTTATATCTAGTTAAACTATCAATAATACATAGCAATATTTTAAAAGAAAAAGCAAGATGATTGGCAAGTGGCAAGAGCTTTTTCCTGTGCTTCTTCCTGAAAGGAAAGCCCTTGGTGTGTGTAACAGGAAATAAAAAAGGAAAAATGGGTCAATTTTGCTGCTCAAAGGAATGTATAATTTGTAGTTCGTTGAATTGTGGTCAAATTACATAGTTGGCATCCCATGCAAAGAATGTCAGGTAGTTTATGTTTAGTCAACTAATGTTGATATTAACACCTAGGTTAAGGTGAAATCTTTCTAAATATTGTTGGGCACCCTTTTCCCCTTCCATTCTTTGCACGCTGAGGTTCCTTCCATAGGAGCTGCCGGTATTATGTACATAATGCAGAGTACATCATTACTCCTTTTGCGCGAAAGCATTACAGGTGACTGCTCATATGCAACTCTGGTTCTCTTCCAGAGCATAGGAAACTTGGAAATATGACTGTGACCGTGAAGAAGACTGTCCCCTCCCCCGAGGCCGTGCAGATTCTCTACCAGCGAATGAGATACGAGTATGAGTTCTACCACTACGTCAAAGAGCAGTTCCACCTGCTGAAACGCAAGTTTGGACTGAAGTCCCACGTCAGCAGGCCCCCTCTGAGACCCCAGTTCTTTATTCCAACTCCACTGGAAACCGAGGAGCCGATCGATGATGAGGAACAAGATGACGAGAAGTGGCTAGAAGATATTTATAAGAGGTGATGCCAGCACTGTGTTGCCTCCACTGGCTTTATCTCCCTTTTCCAGAAAGTTTTTTGTTGGGGGAAGAAAAATCCTTAAGGGACTAAATTAATGCTCAGTTGCATTAAAAAGAACGAAACATTCCCACATGTTGGGGTCATTGGGAGATGCCCGGTTTTGCGGGTCTTTCTTAACTGTATTCTGGGTCTTCCCGGTTCCCCGGATCCTTCCCAGGTACACTAGATGGCGCCATCACAGGGCAGTTCATCATAACATAGCTTTTTTCCCTCTAGTATAATGAGAGGAGGGGGAGAAATACAGCCCATAGCCCAATAATTTATCATTTGTAAAATGACTTGTAAAGATATTACCTCAGTGGTAGGAAACACCCAGACTTACCCATAATTCGGTAGAAATACAAAACCACTTCAGACACCAGGGAATCTACTCTAGAAGTGTCTAAGAGGGGAAGGTAAGACTGATAAGGACCTCAAAAGGGAGGAAGCCCCTGGATGAGTGGTTTCCACCCACGTGGGTAGAATTCTGCCTCTGGTCCATCTCAGGGGACACTTTTGCCAACAGCAGCGTACTTCTCTCTGAAATGGCAAGTCAGCTTGTGCCACACCCCCAACCAGTCCAGAGCCTTGAGTACTTTCCAAGGTCAAGGTGCAGGGCAAGCTCCATTGAGACCCTCCGTTTCCAAGCACCATTCTGACGGATCTAAAAGTAGCGTAGCAGGGAAAAGAATTTGTTTGCCGTGTAAGGAAAAGAGTAGGCACGAGCATCTCTGGAGGCCATGTGACATCAGAAAATTGGTTCGGTTGTGTTCTTTGTACCCACATGGCATCTCTCTCCCCAGCATCGTTTTCACTGGAGACCCGGGAACCGGTTTAGCTCTGGCATTTGACTCCTGTGGCAGAAGTTCTAAGCCTGCCCACAGACAATGCATAGTCTAACCCCTGGCCAAGCTGGGTCCCACCATAATGGCGTCTTTCACCTTCTGGTCCCTTGAAGGGTACCTGGTTTTGGTCCAAAGGGGTACTGAGTTCTACTCAGGCAGCGGTGAAACTCCAACCCCCTTTGTTACGGAAGCAGCCCTTTCCTGAGAACCCCTATTAAGACATTAAGACAAGAAGCAAGAGCTTCTGGTAAGAGACTGCCTGACCAGCTTTATGAGCAGGCGTCTGCCCCCAGAGTGGTACATAGCTGTGGGGCAGTTCCGTTGCTTGAAATGTCTCTTCTCCCCATTCCTCTCCTGTCATCTGCCCCCGACTCATGACCCCGTGGGTCTTTGGATGCTGAAATGTTTTCATCTTTAACTGCGCCCCCCCCCCCCCCCGCTCTGGATACGCATATATTTCTGGGTGGATAACATACAGCCAGCTGAGAAGCAGGGGTGCGGGGGGTGGTGGCAGACGGGATACATGTGACAGATTTTGTCTCCTTCGTGTTTTCTACCCTAGAGCCAGCCCTTCAAGAGCACTAGCAGAGTGTGAGTTGGGAGTACTTAATAGTAAATAAGACTGACTTTACACAAGCTACACATTTTCTACTTTTCAGAAACCAACAACTCTCTCTAGAGTTTTTTCTTCGTTCACTAAAATTGGACAGTAGCCAAGATATAAAGCAAGTCATTTGGAACCTGTCGAGTGTGCACTAAAGCTACTTTATCATGAGATGTATTAAGAAGGCTCCACCCCACAGGAGTCCAGTGAAGGCTGGGACCACAGAGGCACAAAGTCCAGCATTTGGCCACTGGTGGGCCTCCTTTCTGCCTCAGAGAACTGGGGCAGAGACGTGATTAAGAAAAATGTTCTTAGAAGAGGAAATATCCTTTGTCCTGTGTAGAGAGACCAGGGCCCTACCATTAGGCATACCTTAAAAAGCAACCCAGAGAACAGCTGTCCTATTAAAAACAAAAGATAAGAACAGCGCCTGGTACGTTGTGAGTCATTTCTATGAAACTGCATATAAAGAATGATAATTAGTTTACACACTGTGCAGGCTCACTCTCTGAAAATAAAATGGAACTGGCTTAGTGATCTCTGCTTTCGTCAGAACATCGGGACCCATTGGTCATTTGCAAAATGCATCGTCCTAGTGCAAGTTCACACGAGCACTTCCAGCTGTGTGTTCAAAGGCCTTTACTGTCAGCAGTGATCATTAGACCACGCCAACAAGAGATGCTGACCTATTCACTTGCAGGGCCTTAATGCTGTTTTGCCCCAACAAAGAGTCTCTACGTCCTAAAAGTCAAGGCACTTCATCAATTTATTGGCACACATGACAGGATTTCTTTGGCCCTGAGCCCAACGCAGTTTGTACTTCATGAAATATATTGTACATTTTACATAGTTTAATTTAAAAAAAAATACATTTTAAGCTGGTTGATCTTTGACTGCCTTATTTATTATAACCTTTCAGCACATTCCAAGGTTTTAGTTACTCAGGAAGGCGTTAATTAAAATGATTTTATTTTGGTCTGATGGATGTTTTTTAAAAGGAAAATTATTATTATGAACCTTCAGCCTACTCTTCTGGAGTGCCGTAAAAGTGCTTGTAAATCCTTTTTTTTTTTTTTTTTAAGAAGAAGAAGGAAGAAAAAAATGGTGTTTGACATTGATGGAAATTCAAAAATATATATGGAACTGAAACATTAGCTTAGCTAAAATAAAAGCAATCTGTGTTTGAGATGAAGTGTTCCTTAACTTATTCATCATCCATATAAATAAATGAATATAAATAAGTTGCAGTTTTTTCCCCATTCTGTTCCTAGCTGGAAATAAAAGTGCCTGCAGTTTTTCCCAGCGCCCTCTGCCTTTTTAATCGGCCAAACTTCTTCCTTCAAGCTGTGATTTTTAGAAAGATGGGTTTTCTTTTAATCTATAAACTCTATTCATGTTATCATTGGGTGACACCAAAAAGCTGGCTGAGAAAATGAGCGAGGCATTCATTCCTCTAGTTGTGTGGACACGATACTGAGCACCTGACCTTGCCTCCACGTGCCCTGCTTGGTCTGCTGTCCGGGGTTTGGTCAGAACCCTTCCCACCACGCCTCTTAGCATGTACTCTGATCTCTTTCTCAGACACACAGAGCCTCAAAAAGCTGGGTGATTCTCCCCTCCCAAGCGAGCAGTTTTGATCCAGAAACACTCCCTGAGAAATTTCACAGCCACCTCAAAAGGGACTTGCAGAGAGCCAGGGAGTCCCCTGCTTTCTAGCAATTGGGCACCCCATGCCAACTCCTGTGGCTATTTTGTAAAAGGAAAGAACCAGAGTTTTGGTACTAAGGGAAAGAAAAATCTATTTTGGCGATAACATGCTTTACTTTAAGCAAGAGCCTGAGTTTTAAACAACAAGTGACCAATGGTTACCTTTTTTTTTTTTTATCATTTAATTTGTTCTGTAACTTGGTCACATGATGTTTGACTCCGAGTGACCTTTAAAGACAGAAGTATTGAACAAAACCCGGACTACACCCCATCTGGAGTTGCGTGTTTGGTCCGAAGTTCTTCAGAAATGTGCTCTCACCTACAAGTTCATCCAGCAAACTATTTGGCTTTAAATGAAACGTGTAGATAATGGTAGTATTTCTCAGAAGGTGGACTGATGATCCATAAGCATTCAGGACAATTGTTCTATGGGTCGAAATTATGAAATTCCCTTCAAGTAAAAGTAAAGAGGGTTTATTTTACTAAATTTCCTTCATGTCTGGTGATGAAGAAAACATTTTTTTTTAAGTATTTTAAATATCCTAGGAAAGACAAGACTGCTTTAGGCTAAAACCAATATTAAGAGTCTGTTAAAAAAAAAAAAAACCATAGAACATCTTTCACAGCTCAGAAAACTCACTGTGATATAGAGCTCAGAGTGTTTGCGCCATAGATGGACTGGCCTAAACAACGGAAATTTATTTTCTTACACTTCTGGAGGCTAGAGGTTTGAGGTCACAATGTCAGCAGCATCGGTTTCTTCTGAGGCCCGTGTCTTTCTTGTACCTGGGCATCTTCTCCCTCTGTCTTCACATGGTCTCACCTCTGTGCACACTCATTTATGTCCAAATTCTTTTTTTTTTAAATTTTTTAAAATCTTTGTTTATTTTCGAGAGAGAGAGAAACAGAGCATGAGTGGGGGAGGGACAGAGAGAGAGGGAGACACAGAAACCGAAGCAGGCTCCAGGCTCTGAGCTGTCAGCACAGAGCCCGACGCGGGGCTCAAACTCATGAACTGCGAGATTGTGACTGGAGCTGAAGTGGAACACTTAACCCACTGAGCCACCCAGGTGCCCCCAAATTCTTCCTTTAATAAGGACACCACTCGTATTGGATTAGGGCCCATGCTGATGGCCTCATGTTAACTTGATTACCCCTGTAGAGACCCTGTCTCCAAATACAGCCACATTCTGAGGTACTGGTTGTTAGGACTTGAGCATATGAATTTTGTGGGGGACACAGTTCTTCTTACAGCACCCAGACTACAGCAGAGAAGTTGGAGCAGAGGAACTGGTCTCCAACTAGGAGAGAAGCAAGCCTAAACTCACAGAACCCTCGAACTGCCATGGGGCTGGGCGGCCGTCTGGCCCTTGTCCTTTTTTTATACGTAAGGAATTGAAAGTCCAGAAACGGGTTCCTGGGTGGCTCAGTCGGTTAAGTGTCCGACTTCGGCTCAGGTCACAATCTCGCAGTTCGTGGGTTCAAGCCCCACATCGGGCTCTGTGCTGACGGCTCGGAGTCTGGATCCTGCTTCGGATTCTGTGTCTCCCTCTCTCTCTGCCCCTCCCCAGCTCATTCTCTCTCTCTCTGTCTCTCTCTCTCTCTTAGAAAATAAATCAACATTAAAAAAAATTTAGAACAAGGCAAAAAAAAAAAAAGAAAAAACCTCCAGAAATATACAAGATTCAAATACACCACATGCTAAGTTTTGCCGTTGAGGGTTCGATGAATTTGCGAATACTGAACAAATCAAAACGACGATACCGCCAAAGACCCTCTACCGACCTAAATCCGGAATGGAAACGAGAAGGCACATTAAACCACCCCCAGTGCCACCCCCCACACTGAAGCCATCTCTCCCTGCAGCTCGCCCGGCTGTGGGGCCTGTGGGACCCCCTTCCACAGAGGGAGACCCTAACTAAGCACTAAGTCCTCCGGGACAGATGTCAAAATAAACCTGTTCCCTCTGAGATTTTTCTCTCTACTCAAAGGACAAAGAGGGCTTCTTATTTCTGGATTTGAGCTCCATTTTGCCCACCGCAGATTAGAGACTTCTATTTTTCCTAAAGGTAAAATGAAGATTCATGTTCTGCTTCCTCTAAGGAGCTTCAGAAGGACCTGCCTCAAAAACTAAAGTCAAATACAGCTCATAAAACTAGTTGGAAGTCGAGTGCAGACATGCCTCCGGAAAACCCGAGCTAGAGAGTAACCAGGCCCTGAATGCTCCCAGGCCTCTTCCCTCGCCGACTGCTTCACTCACTGGAGAATTCCTTTCTGCGTAGGGCAGGCTTGGCTCACGGCGCCCGGCACCGCCGATTCCCAAGGAACACCCTGGCCCACAGATGTTCATGGGTCACAGAATTGTGAACTGACCACTGGTGCACTTTGGATTTCAACGTGTAAAC